CATAATAATTATAGACAATTTATAACTTATAAATAATCCACAAGAATTCAAAGTCTATGAACGATTGTTACGTTACAGTTGAATGTACTTNACATACACACCACACACACACACACACACACCACACGCACACACACACCACACGCACACACACACATAAGTACACAAAAACACATACACGAAAAAACATGTACATAATTTATAACGTGTGCTGTGCATATAATTTCAATAAAACTTATCGGATGTTAATCATGAATAAGTTTTTTTACACTTCAAATTAATAATGTTTTTTTTACATATGATCATCTCAAATTAACGCAGAACACATGCAAACGTGGTGTAGGCAGGCACGCAGGCTCCTACACCAATTGAAACAACGAATGAGTGCAGTCAGCGAACATGTGCGTAATGAAACTCAGATTCCAGAGCAGCCAACCAAAAACTGACTAGAAGTAGAGAGGAATATTTAATATGAGTGCATCAGTGTGTGCGCAAAAATTATGACGAACGTGTAGATGAACACGTGTTAGAACAAAAAACGGAAGTGGAATAGTGGAAATATATGGAGCGAACGATTGATTGTCAGGTTCACTGAGTGAAAAATAATTGTAATTTATTTTTATTATCAAATAAATCATCGAGAGTGCTATGAATTTTTCTGAAAATTTTATAATAACTGCCAACATTCTTATCATCCTTATGAGAAGTTATAATTTTTCAAAGGTATTCAACATCCAGCATCAGCCTTCAGCAACAGTTTATTTTTAAAACGTCATTTCTTCGTCAGCATGTGCTCCCTTCAAAAGTTGTTGCGAGTTAATTGTGGGAGTTTACTCTACTTTACCATAAAGTAACGTTTAACTAGACGATGCAACACACACAGACACACACGAAGATATCAGCCTCATTTGAGACACGTGACTAAGAACTCACCCCAAGCCCATGTCGTAAACACATCTGCCAGCCAAGTCAACTCTGCTCTGCAACCAGCCATCCAACCAAATGAATTCCACCATTAACCCCATACCACCATGTCACATTCCAATCATCCAAACACTGGTTAAATCTCTCTTCATAATCATCATCGGATGACTCTGGTAACAGCATTGACACATCACAACCAACAGCCACACTGTAATATTTAACTAACGAATTGTGATATGAAAATACTTTGAAAAATTACTTATTTCTCAATTTACCTGTTACTTTTTACATAAAAATATATAAATTCAAACAGTAAAATATATAATATGGGATTAATCCTAATTTATCTTTAAAACACAAAAGAATATACCTAAAAATAGCTGCCAAATTCACAACACTGCGAACATAAAAGCCCACACACGCTTTCAACTCACTCACTCACTCACTCACTCACTCACTCACTCACGCACTCACTCACTCACTCACTCACTCACTCACTCACTCACTCACTCACTCATTCCCTTACACGCAATCACTCACTCACTCACTCACTCACTCACTCACTCACTCACTCACTCACTCACTCACTCACTCACTCACGCACTCACTCATTCACTCACAAACCTGCATATTGATTCAAAAATAATGCCCCCATCATAAACAATGTCAGTGCTTTAATGCCTTCCTCAATTGTAGCAATAACATTGATTTCATCTCACGTAGAATGTTCGCACACAAATCGTTACACACACCACACACACACACAACCGCACACACACACACACGCATCCACAAACAGACATCCACACACCCACAATTATACATAGACACACTCACATAGACACACACACAAACAAGATGCGAACATAAATCTGTGTAAAAACCATGGACTCTGGGTGTAGATGATGACGGTGGCATGACTCGTAAACATATCTGTACAAACAAGCAATCAAACAAACAACATACATTAGTATAAACGAGTACAAATGACAAACGCTTAGGATGTATTCGGTGTATACATTTCGTACATTACATTTGATAGCAAGCATGCTTGCTGGCTTCCTAAGATACACTTGTTTAAATGGGGCAAGCAGGTTTTTATTTCTCTTGGATTTCGTCAAAAATCAAACGTCGAAATGTTTAATAATTTGTTTTCATTATTATTCATTTATTCATTATTGATTTATTCAATTTAAAATTAAAAACACACACACACACATACACGTCAAACAGATACACACCTCACGCACATAAACACTCGGTTATTGTTACACGCACACTCCACACACACACACACACACACACACACACACACACACACACACACACTACACACACATACAAACACACAACATACACTAATCCCATATACAAGGCAGTGTATTATACACGTACTACATGCACGTACGTAACGCATGCAAATAACAAATTGCTAACATTAATCAGACGTACGTACATCGTCTGTTGTTGTAGTTACAAAAACTTTAAAAGAAAATTTTTCAGGCTGTTTTCTGGTTGGTTGGCTGATTGGATGGTTGGTTGATTGACTGGTTGATTGATTGGTTGGTGTGTTGATTGATTTGTTGGTTGATATGTTAGACTGAATGGTTTGTTGATTGATTTGCAGGTTGGTTGGTTGGCTAGTTAGCTGGTTGGCTAGCACGTAAGCAAACAAAAAAACGTTGAAAATAAACATACAAGTCAGACCAAAAAAATTATCTAATAATTCCATAGCTTAATTAAAAATCGACATCTGTTTTTGGCGTCAATTTAAAAAGACAGCATACAAAAACAAACAATTCAGTGATGAATTATAAACAACGAATTATAAAGAATGAATTAATAGCGTCGAAAACAATTACACATGTAAACGTTAATTACTCCGTAATGATTCTGATGTATGCAGACTAATTATGCTTCCATCTCAATCATTCTCTACATTCTTTATTAGTCCTTCATAAAAATCCCACGACTCGTTCATCACGGTGTGTACGTGTAGTGTACATCAGTTTGGACGAGGATTTTGTTTATTCATACCCCTCGTTTCAGAATTTTTTGAACATTTTACAAAACTTCTAACATAAAATATGTCCAGAATGAAGAAATGAAAGAAATTGTAAATAATAAAGAGCATTAGTTTCAATCAAACTAAAAGCTGAGCTGAACAGAGAAAAACTAAACAAGACCAAAACAACCAATCAATAAAACAAACAGACAAGAATGATTAATTTTTTTATTTTCAACAACCAACCATAAAACAGTTAATTTATCAACTAACCAAACAAACAACCAACTGGACACTAAATCGATTCAATCACTGAACAACTTATTTAAAAACAAAACCCACAAAACAATCAAACAGCTGAACATGTAAAGCGCTGAAATGCAATTGAATAGAGGCCACTGAAACAAAATGTACATGAAAAAGTTTCAATACCAGTTTTAAAGTTTGTTTATATATTCCCATATTTAAATTCCATTCATACATTGATTAAGTTATATAATATTTATTAATAATAAAAATAAATCATACTAACGATATTAATAGCAATAAGAACAAACAAATAAACAAAACAAAACTGATTTGAAAGTAACGAACGATAAGAAAGAGCGAATCTGAATAACTCCCAAACAGAACAACAATTAATCATAAACATACATCCATTCCAGAGTAGTAGTAGAAATACATGCACGCAAACACGCACGCACGCAAACACGTACATTCATCAGCAAATCACGCACATTACATACATACATACATACATACATCACAGTTCATTACATTATATAAATACATTACAATATATTAAAAACATACATTACAATACATTACATACATACATTACAGTACTCTACATACTATCATACATACATTACAGTATATTACACACATACATCACAGTATACATTATAGTACATTACACAACAAAACATTAGATGTCTATATGTTATTTAAGATAGAAACATATCAGGGGATGCCTTGATTTAATAAACAACAAATCAGACATCAAAAGAACATGTTGATAAATTTTGTGCTGATCATTAGTGCTATCATTAGCAATCACATCATCATCATCAACAACAACAACAAGATCATCATCATCAACAACAGCATCATTACCTTTAACATAGACCAACAATCCAAGCAATATATGAAAGTTTTTATATTAACATTAAAAACGCCATCATCATCGTTATCATCACTGTCGTCATCGTCGTCGTCATCATTATCACTACTACCTAATCTTTCTGTTCGTATAATTATAAACAACAAAAACTTACTTTATCATGATGAAATTAAAATAAACAATAATTTACTATTACTAGTACTACTACTACTACTACTGCTACTGCTGCTGCTGCTGTTACTACTACTACTACTACTAATAATAATAATAATAATAATACTATTACTACTATTAATAATAATAATAATAATAATAAATAATAACAATAATCCCCATCATAGTCGTCATCGTCATCATCTGAATTAAGTGCACCATAAATATTAGCAGTCGACGTTATTATCACCATCAAAAGGAAGGATTATTCTCCAAATAGTTTCTGAAGAACATCAATTTTTTCATCATCGTCATCAAAACCTGATGATGATGACGATAATGATGATATTGATTATGATATCATGATACCATGTTGATGATGATGGTGATGATGATGGTTATAACAAAGATGAAGATGATGATGATGATATGCTACTGCTGATAACGGTGAAGAAGAAGAAGATGAAGATGACGATGATGAAGAAGAAGACGGTGATTTACAATTTCATGTTCAAACGTTTCATTCATAATCACCAATCATTCATTCATCACTTCAGTCAGCAATTTTAGGCCATCATCTTATTCATCACCGCCTTCATCAGTATTTTCATGCACTTTTAGTATCACATTATAATTTCGAATACAACTTTTCATATTTTTATTGCAAATCAACAAAGCTCAACAAACATATTTTTACAAATTATTATTATTATTATTATTACTTTTTATTATTATTACCATTATTATTAATATTATCATCACCAGATGAAAACAAGCAGACGCTGGCTTCCACTATTATACATTATTATTGTGCAAAGCACTTTCATGTTCTGTTTTGCTGGTTGGTTGTTTCTGGTAGCAAACAAATTGGTTTGAATTAACAGAACCAGATTTTTTTTATAAGCTCATCTAGGCATGTGCGTGCGAGTGTTTCTGTGTACGTGTGCGTCTGTTTGCGTGATCGTGTGTGTCTGTGTGCGCGTGTTTGTGTGTGTCTGTGTGTTTGCATGTGTTCGCTTTTTGCTTGTTTCATTTAAAACAAGATTAATAATTTTTCGTCGGTGGTAATAATTATGACGTAATGATGATGACATTGTTGTTGCTGCTGCTGCTGCTACTGATGATGATGAGGAGGAGGAGGAGGGGATGATGATAAAAATAAAATTTTTACGCTGTTTAAAATATAGTTAAAACTGAAGAAGTTTTCAAAAACACGACGAAATCATAACGAGCAAGCAAGCAAACAAACAAACAAACCAACAAACGAGCGAACGAACGAACAGACGAACGAATGAATGAACTAACTAACATACAAACAAGTAAACAAACAAACAAACAGAAAGACGCGAGCAGCAGCAAACTTTATACCATTTCATACACGTGCAAATATAGAACTAGGTATGAATGTTTGTTTGTTGGTTTGTTTGTATGTGTGTATGTATGTATGTGTGTGTGTGTGTGTGTGTGTATGTTTAAATGTGTGTGTGTATAGATGTGTAGCAGTCATCTTTTATATCCAATGCATTGAATTTATAGATGTACGTAAACAAGTCTCTACGTTTGTATATCAAATCCATGGATTTAAAGATGAATTATACACGGAACATTGAAAATATTGTTATACAAACGCCTTTGTTGTATGTTCATATAAAGGGTAGTTAGTCATTTTCTCATTTTCTAAGAGCTGCATCATCAACAGAAGCATAGATAGAGTAGTTAACTTATGGCCGATAATAAAACTTTTATATATCTTTGTTAGTTTCTTAAAACTCTCTTATGATGTTTGCAAATTATTGTGTTGTTCTTATCTCGTTCGTATAGAAACTTCAACGTGTATGTATAACCTAACTGGTGTATTCCTTGTATTATGTTGAAAATGCTAACGAAAGTTTTTTTGTTTGAGTTTTTTTTTCTCAAAATTTGAATCTGAAGTGCTCGAAATGTTGTAAATTATGTATTTGAAAAAAGTTGCAGAAGCAAAATTTTGTCGGTACGAAGGAACAAAATTTTTAGAAAGAGTTTTAAAAAAGTTATCTCTTCGAATTTGAAAAAATAAATTCTAACTCCTTGAAGCATTCTTATTTTTTTTAAAATTTGAAGTGTTTTATCACTTTTTGATGAAGAGTAAATGATAAAATAACATCAAACTTCTAGATGGAGGTTCATTAAAATATAAAATCCATATAACTGTGAGGCTGAATGATGAAATCAGAACTGATGATTACAAGTGAAACGATGAAATGATTGTAAATGAAAAACTGAAAACTGAATAACCATGAACTAACATGTGAGTAATGAAGTTGATGCTAGTCTCATTACTACCGCACCACAATTCTATGTTATCGTAATCATCCATCATCGCATTTTCATCTTCCTGGTCTACCTCCTCTTCCTCCTCCTCATCTCCATCATCATCTCCCTCATCATCTTCATCATCATCATCATGACCTCCATCTATGCAAATGTAATCCGAATTAGTGGTAGACATAGTAGCATGATCATCTTTGTTGTTGTTGTTTTTGTCGGGTGTTGTGGCTAATTTTTTCTTAAACACTTTTTTCTTTTGATGTCTGGTGTCGCCATTTGTAACGATGGTGATGTCTTCAAGTAAGTCCATTACTCTGTCATAAATGTTTTCACTATATGTGTTGTTGTTTTTGTTTATGTTGTTCATGTTGACACTGTTAATGTAGTCTTGCAAATCGGGGTTACCGCTTGTGTAATTCACTTTTAATTTATTGTTCGTAAGTGCAACGTTATTCTTGCATTTGTTCCTCTTAATGATGTTGTTGCTAGTGGGATTATCAGCTGTCCTGGCAGTTTCAGCAATAATGATGGAATTATTGTTGCTGTTGTTGTTACTGTTGATGATGTTGTTGTTGTTAATGTTGTTTTCGTAGTCGTGATCATTGTCGTCGTCGTTGTTGTTGTTGTTCCGATTATTTTTCCTTTGCAATTCAACAGCAATTGGTTCAGAGGACTGACAAATTGATTCCAATGTTTCTCCCAAACTACTATTGCTCTCCAAATTTTGTCCATTCACCTTTAAAAGAAGATTTTGTGATCCGAAGTTAATTTTATTTGAGATGTAAAATGTAACCGACACAACACAGCACAACAACAACAACAGCATACGCTAACACTAAACATTAATGCAGTCGGTATACTACATGATAAAAATGGATAATAAATTATAAACACACACACACACACACACACACACATGAACTCTTGTACGTGTGCAATCGTTTATGTGCCTACAGTTTTGTTAGTCGTACGTTTAAAAATGTGTGTGTGTGTGTATGTGTGTGTGTGTGTTCTGTAGATATATAGTTTTATATCCGTACGAATGATTTTGTAATTATATGCACACATGTGAGTAGGTTTTTATGTGATTTGATAAATCTATTAAAATTTGATTGTGTTTGTAATGTATGTTTTATTACAAAAGTTTTACAAATGCGTGTGTGCAGTAAGCATGGATGTGTGAATGTATGCACGTGTTTTTATGTATGTGTATGTATGTATGCATGCATGTATGTTTTCATAAATGTGTGTGAGTGTTTGAAAGAAAACCGGCGTGTGTTTGTTTGAATGTGTGTGTGTGTGTTTGCTTGAATGTTTGTGTGTGTGTGTTTGTATGCGTGTATTTGTACGCTCATGTCAGTGTATGTACGCTTAAGTCCTGTTAATGCAACGTAGCGACAGGATTGCATATTTGAGTGTAGTAAATATTGACCAGGTGCGTACGGTTCCTCCGACGATCTTCAATGTTTGTAGCGTCCTACAGAGATAAATGTCGGCAAACATTTAACGAACAAACACATACTTACAAACACACAAACACACGTACACGTACACACAAACACACACACGTACACACACAAACATTTCTAAATAATTGATTAACACCAACATTCATGAAATTACGTATAGTTCGAGTTTTTACTCTGATAAGCCTTCTTTATTGATATTGTTTCTCTGTCTGCGGTTTATTTGCGTTCTCTTCGGTAAAATTTGAATGTTTAACTAAAACTTTGAATGAATGAATTTCAAGCAAGAAAGGATGGTTTATGCGTAAGAAATGTTGAAAAATTATTTTCATTCTTCGTCATATTGAAAAATTATTTATCTATAACAACATTTTGCTATGCTAAAATGTATGTGGCTGTGCTATCGGTTTCATAATACGTTCATCAATATTTAAATAGAAATAATGCTGTAGAACGTCTGAACATTATGAATAATCCAACATGAACCTCACAACATTCATTGTTACAATGAAACGCTTAGCAAACATGACCCAATATAACCGCATGTAAGTGAAGTTATGAAAGTTAAATAAAGTACATAAATAAATGAATGGGTTGGTTTTAGCATCTTACATTGTTTTACTTTGGACGTGTGATGATATAAGTTGCTGGCTTGTTTTCGTTAAGTATGTTTACAAGTTGTTTGTGTTTTGTGTTGTTGGTAGTTTCGGAATCGGTAGAATAATTATAAGAGTCACATATTTTTTTTATCAAGAAAGTAATTTGAATTACAAGTTTTTGTATTCTAAATATTTTTGTAAAGATCGTGCTTCTAAGAGAATGTGTAGAATGTTATATGTAGCAACATGCAATCCTCTTTAATACTGAAAATAAATGCTATTGATGTGGATAAAATCACATAGTTTTCTTTCTGTTTAATTTGAAACATAAACATAAAGTAATTTTACTGAGAAAAAACTACTAAACTGGCTGATTTGAAATGCTTTTTAAAGTTTTTTTATTTAATAGTGATAGTTAAGTGATATTATGATGCAAAAGTTGAAAAAATTTTTTTTGGATCGGAACCCAAAGTTGAAATTGGGAATCGGAGTAGAGAGTGGAAAATTCTTACCCTGAATTTAGTCGGAATTTTTTGAGGAACCGAAGTCGGATATTTTTCATCCTGGTTTTTAGTGGTCTCTGTTTAAAATACAATGCGTTTTGTGTGTTGTTGTCGTTGTTGTTCTTGGTGGTGTGTATATCGTTGTACTAATGATGAGTTGTTGTCTTGTGGTTAATTTTGGTGTTTAGCGGTCTGCCACTTTGTACTGGCAATTAATTCTGTTTTCTCGCAAACAGAACTTAGAAATTGGCGGGAGAATTAGCGATAAATAAAGAGATCAATTAAATAGCAGTTGTGAAAATTAATAATTAATAATTTTTAACCATAAAAACAATTTATTTTATTAGTCTTCTAGTACCTCAATAGTAATAATAATAAAAACAATAATAATATTTTTATTATTATTATTATAACATAATTATACGCCATGATATTAAATAAAACTCTTCTTTTCTTTATCAGCATTTAGCATAGCAATAAAATGAATTGATGTGATAACGCAAAAAGCATACTGTACAAGTCATCGTAAAAACCTCCAATGTAACATTAAACCTCAACCGTGTATGCAAACAACAATGCAACATACAAACAAACATATTCATACAAACTGATATTGCTGTTTATAAACAAACGTGTTAAACATACATAAGGACATATCGTTAAAGATATTTTAACGTTGAAAAAACGTTACAAAAATGTGTCCATCGGTATATAACTGTTTTTGCCACTGTTGTTTTTGTTGCTGCTGCGTTGTTGTTAGTGTGTTTTCGTTGGTCTGTTGTTGTATCGTGTTGTTGTCGATGTTGTTATGTTATGCTGTCGTTATTTTGTTGTTGCTGTTGGGCTAAAGTATCGTTGTTATTTTATGTTTTGTGTTTGTTGTTGTTGTGTTGTACAAAATTAATTTTATTAATAACGAAAATTAAGGGGATAATTATAATGATTATGATGAAGATTATGATGAGGAGGAAAAGGAAGGGGATGACGATGATGATGACGATGGTAGTGGTGATGATGATGAAAAACGTTGAGGGTGATGATGATAGTTAATGGTGAGTGTTTCAGGATGATAAAAATGATGAAATTGGTGAACGTTTTAATGAGTTTTCTTTCTCTTTCTACCCTGAAACTGTGTGTGTGTGTATGTGGTGTGGTTGGTGTGTGTGTGGTGTGGTTTGTGTGTGTGTGTGTGTGATGTATGTGATGTGTGGTTGGTGTGTGTGTGATGTTTGAGATGTGTGGTTGGTGTGTTACTTTTGAAATGTACCCACGTGATGATGACATTATTGATGTTATGGACGTGACGATAATGCCACTAAAGTGATGAATGAAAGTGATAGTAATGGTGACGACGATCCTGATAACGATGGAAATGTTTGTCTATGATCATATTAGTAACGATTTTATGTGTGTTGTTCAACTTAATTGGATTATAATAAGCTTTCTTGCTTTATTTGAAGCGGTCGAACAAATTTTAAATTAAATTTGTTTTGGTTTATATATTGATAAAAATTGAAATCAGAAAATTGCATTCAATTGTATTAATGATATTCATTAAAATTTCATGGCGAAGTTCAATACAAATTAAAGACAAGCAGCCAAACTTATTAACAATATAAGCACACAGATCTGTACACAACAAACGAGGGGCAGACGCACTAACAAACGCACTAACAAACAAACACATCAACCTACAAATACAACACAACATACAAACTCATCAATAAACATATATACCAAAAATATCTAGGTGAAAAAACCATACCGAATTTTAAGAACATCAATAAATATAAAAATATGCTCACACACATATGCACGCGCACACACTCACACAGTCACACATACGAATATATATTTTATGCACCTGAAAGCACACACACACACACGCACGCACGCACACACACACACACAGGTGTTGTAATAATATCGTGGAAGCCCATCTTCTATTGAAGAAGAAACTAATGAAGCAAGCCAGGTTTCCTCGGAGGAAAAATTATTTCTGCCAAGAGAATGCCCAACTTATCATGTGCATTCATTTATAACTTATAATAATAATCATTATAATTATATCAATAATAATAACAATAATATAATGATAATGCGTGAAATTTAAATAGTGGCACGGTGGTGTAGCGGTAAAGAGCCTGGCATGGCTATTACACTGACTGGATTCGATTGCATGCAAGAGATCCCCACCTATCACATGTATTTGCGTGCACTGTCATGTGTTTGTCGCCAATGCATCTGAAGAATGCTGAACGATTGTTACGAAGAAATACTGCTGTGATGATTGGTAGAAATCACAAGTACGTTAAACATGATTTGCAGGCAGGGATTCATTATATTAAAAGGAGTTCGTCCGTTCGTATATGTGTCTCTTATTTTAATTCAAACTGTTTTTAAGCATGTTTTTTATTAGTTTCGAATTTTTACCATCTTTGCGGTTGGTTGGTTGGTTGATTGGTTGATTGGTTGGTTGGTTGATTGGTTGGTTGGATAGTTAATTGGTTGGTTGGTTGATTGATTGGTTGGTTGGTTGGTTGATTGGTTGGTTGATTGGTTGGTTGGTTGATTGGTTTTGGTTGTTTGATTGGTTTTGGTTGTTTGATTGGTTTTGGTTGGTTGGTTGATTGGTTGATTGGTTTGATTGATTGGTTGGTTGTTTTCAATTATTTTCCAATATTCACTGATAACATTTCATTGCGAATAACTGAATTCACGTATTGTTCAGCTGTTGGTTTCATTACAATAGTGCAATAAAAAAAAGTGAAATATTGCTACAATCGACACTACAATTTATTTCTACAATATGCACGCATCATAATAGCATCTGAGGATTTTTATGAATGTCTTCCCTGATTTATGACCGCAAAATATATGTTGGTTTTCATTTAATAATGTTTGTTTGTTCGTTCGTTTGCTTGTTTGCTCGTCTGTTTGTTTGTTTGCAGATTAGTTCGTTCGTTTGTTTGTATGCTCGTTCGTCCGTATGTTCGTTTGTTTGTCTGTCGGTCAACATGTTTTTGCTAGATTGTTGCTTTCATTTGTTTGTAAATAAATATTAGTTTTTCGAGATGCTTACAGAAATGCATATACATCAACACATTATGTATGTATGTATGTATATATATATATATATATATATATATATATATATATATATATATATAACGTGTATATACAGTGACTTAAATATTTCAATAATAGCCAGAAAGGCACAATATTATTATTTGAACTTGTTTACGCAAAAAGCAAATG